GGACGCGCGGCCTGGCTCGGATTCAGTTCTCCACATGACTCCTGAGGGCCCCGTGGCTTCCGCCTCTGCCCGGAGATGGTGAAGGCACGCTCTCTGGCCCTGGAAAACCCACCCGAACCTGGCCTGGCCCCCTTTGTGCCCAGTTTAATAGGTTGGGGTGGCCCGAGACCAGAGCCCTTGCCTCCCTGGCCTCTCGCAGCCCCGGGGTAAGCGTGACCCTGCAGCGCAAGTCCGAGCCCTGGACGCTCTCAGGGGCCCGCAAGACAGTGACTCGCGGTGTCCAGGGTTTGCCCGTGCGTGACTGTTCCACCCTGTCCCGCAGTTCACGGGACTTTCTAGGTGTGTCTTCCCGGGATTTCCCTATTCTCTGGCCTTTCCGGCCCCTGTGGCCTCCTTCCCGCCAGGGCCCAAGGTCTGTCTGGCTCTCCCAACTTTGGGTTCTTTCTCAGGCGGGTGCCGGTGCTCAGTGCCGGGTCCTAAGCAGGAGTGGGAGGAGGGCTGGAGGCTGGGTAGCCGGTGCCGGCTGAGCGTGACCCCCAGGCGCGGAGGACGCGGGGGCGGCCGCGCCTGCAGTTCGGCACTGGCAGCGGGAACGCGAACTGCGGGCCTTGGGCGCCACTGGCTTCTCACCCTTTCTTGACGGCCGAGTAGTACGGCGGGCAGCCTTGGGCCTGAGACCACCAGCCCTTCGAGGGCACCGCGCCCGGACGCGCCCTCGCGCCCCCCGGATCCCTCAGGGGGCTCAGCAGGCTTCCAGGAACACCCTGCCCGGGCTTCTCAACGCCGGAAATGCAGTTTATTACTCTTTGGAAGGCTGGTAGGGAGGTCGGCTGGCTCCCTGGGGTGGGCCGCGAGTGAGGTGGGGCGTTCACAAAGCACCCTGAACGTCGGGCCCGGGCGGGCTCCGCAGCTGGCCTCACTCCGTGGGACTCTAACTTGGTCCAAGTTTCAGGATGACTCTGAGACTGGCACCAGTCCGCCGCCGGCTCTCCAGGCCTTGCATCCCGCAGCAGTGGAGGCCCCGGGACTGGGGAGGTACAAGGGGGACGGTTACGCCCGGCACTCGCGGAGCGGCCCCTTGCCCTCTCGGAGTGGGTAGCGGCCGCGGGCGGAGGGGCTTGGTGCGCGCGACGGCCGGGGCACTGGGCGCTGCACGGCCCGCTGGGAAGCTGGGCTGGGCCTGGGCGCGGACGCTGCCGGGTCGGTCGTACCGCCTGGCTGGGCCTCGGTAGTGCTGCGGGTCAGCGGCCAAGCGCCGCCTCTGCCCCGCGCTCCGCACGCCGCTCCTCGAACAGGGCTCCAGGGGCGGCGGGCGCTGTCTCTTTAAGGTCACTGCCTGCTCCGCCACGACGTGGGGAGGACAGCTGGGCACTGGCCATCTGACTGACTCCGGCGTGACATCTGGGAGCCCACTGGTGTGTGGCACGCGAAGCGCTTGATGCCGCTATTTAAATGCAAATGTGAGGGGGCTCATTGAAGCCTCTCCCCGTAAATCCGCACAAAAGGAATACTTCCCACCCTCCGAGGAGGAGGAGGCGGTGGCGGAGAGGCGGCGGCGGCGCAAGGGCCACCCGTGCAAATCGCGTTGAGCGCGGGGCCCTGAGCGGTCGCCGCTGCCGCCGCGGCCCGCGGGGTTCCCAACGAAGGTCAGGCCCCGCACGGACCGGCCCCTGGGCGTCTGTCTGGCCCCTGGGAGCGCTATGTGAGAGGAGGCTGGACGAGCAGCCGGGCCTGCCTAACTTCCAAAGTGTCAGCTTGTCTCTCCGCCTCCCCTCCCCTCCTCCCCACTCCCCACCCCCATGGTTCCCCTTCCTGGGCGCTTAGCGCCCCTAGTTCCCCAGAAACGGAGAGAGGCGGGAGCCGGGCTCCAGAGGGAGGAGGCCATCGCGGGGCCTCGCTCCAGCCTCTCTCAGGGCATCCAGGAATTGCCCTGCAGTCCCCCTCCTCCTCCCCAGCCTGGGTGCTCAGTCCATCGCTCCTCTCCGCTGCTGCTCCCCCTTCTTTAAAGCGAAAATCTAGGGTAGGGTGAGGTGGGGGGGGATGGGGGTAAGGGGCTGCCCTTCCAGGCTGCTCCCCAGCAGGCCCCGCTGGAGACCCAGCCCGGTCCGGCAGTCCTTGTGCCCACAGCTCGGAGCCAGAAGTGGAGTGACAAAAAAGATAAAGTTGGTGAATGATAAAGACCGTATTTTCCACGCTTTGGGTGCGGGACCAGATGATCTAGAAAATGAGCTGAAATGGATTCAGCCTCCGAGCCTGTTGTGAGAGCAGCTGATTCCCCCATTTCGGGCCAGATGGCTGCTGAACACAGATTTGCATTCATTTTCGCTTAATATCGTCCAAAATAGTGGGGCAGCTGCATTTGTTGTCAAAAAGGTTTAAAACCCCTTTTCTTTCTGGGGCAGGATCGTTACCTTATGTGATGGGCTTATAGAACTTCTTTCCCCTCTTTAGTCAACAGTATCAGATTTAGAAGGATTTGTTTTTAAACCTTCTAATTTGGTAATCAGATTTAAATCGCCTTGGCGCGTGTAATCTGAATTAAAGATACTGTAAATGATTTTAAGCATGATACTTTCGTTAGTGGAAGGAAGGGGCACCTCCAAGGCGGGCTGGGCATTTTAGGAAGTGTGCTACAAAGGAAGCATTGTTTCCTATTTCCAACTTCATCTTTCCCAAAAAGGCACTTTGCATATTCTGACAATAACGTTTGCCTGGCCGCTCGCCCTGCATGAGCCCCCGAAGCAGCTAAACACGCAGAGACAAAGCAATTTCTCAACCCCACCCTACACCTATGGCCAACTTTATTTTGCGTCGTCCCTCCACGAAGAAAGTGTTCCTTTCCCCAGTCAGTCTGAGGTGGGTGGAAAGCTCTGGGCTTATTAGGAATACAGAAATTTTCTTTTAATTTATCGTGAATAGTTTCCATACACTTTGATTTAAGGTTATTAACATTCTATAGACAGTGGCATCTTTAATATGTGGCGATCGCTTCTAAAGACTAATCTCATTACCCTCAAATAGTCATAAAATATGATTTTATTATACTTACGTATTTAATTAGACGGCCGGCACCGTAATGGATTTTGAGATGGGACTGGCGCGACAGCTTTGATAATTCACTTATCTTTGGCAATAGTCATTAACCCCCAACACCAGCAAAATAGATTGCTTTCCAACACACCTTTTTTTTTTTCCTCACCCCTTCCAAGAGGCGTGGGGGTCCCCAGATAGCGTAAATCGGACTTCGCGTTTTCCCGATTAATTAAAATATTAACGTACACACACTGCCAATTCATGGGAAAAGGGAGTCCCACCCCAAGCGGGCGGGGAAAGGGTGCCCTGCGACACACTTGCAAGCCTGAAACCTGCTTTGGTTTTGTTTTAATCGAAAGGGCCTGATTTCTCTCGGCAGGGAAGTGCCGGGACAGCTCCTGGTCGTCCCCTGGGTCTCTGCTCTGTGTCGTGCAGACGTCCTTGGGGCGGGCAGTGTGCCTGGGTGCGTAGTCCCCGCGGCAGGAGCTCGGCCGCCGGGCCCACGCGTTGCCCGTGCCCTGCTGCCCTCCCGATTCCTCGAAACCAGGTCGGGAAGCTGCGCGCTGCGCGCTCACCCGGGCCCGGCGGCCCTGAGGGCAGGACCCCGGCGCCCGCGAAGTCCGCTCGGCTTTTAGAGAGGCCGGCGCCGGGGAGGTCTAGCTACCGCGCAGGGCGCGCAGCCGGACACCCGGCTCCGGGTCGCCGGAGAGGCCGGGCGCGCTTCCTGTCGGTCCGGAGAGCCCGGAGCCTTCTTTGTCACTCGCCGCGTTTAAGCCCAGGCCGGGGGACGAGGGCTCCCGTGGCCACCGGGAAAGACAGCATCTGGCAGAGCCCGCCTCCGACGTGGGTCCTCAGCCCGGCACTCAGCGGCCTCCGCCAGGGCAGAAGGCACCGGCGCCCGGCGAGGCCCAGACGGGGGCAGACTGGCCCTCCAGCCGCCTTAGGTCTGTTTAGAAACCAGGCTGGGCTGCGCGCCCCGCCTTGGCGAGGGGCCCTGCCCTCCCCACCGCCCGCCCCCCCCCGCCCCATCCCCGGTCGGTCGCTTGCCCCTGCAGCCCCCTCCCTGCGGCCTGCCTGCTCCTTCCCGCTTTTCCCTTTGGGCGGCCCCAGGGCGAGCCGAGGCCCTTCGCGTTTAGTGCCTGCGTTAGGGCAAGTTGGGGGCGCCTCGCTCGGCATTTTACCCCCTCCTCCCTACAGTATTTCGACTGGGCGGCTGATTTGGGGAGGAGGTGTTCGGGGGGCCGAGCAGCAATGGTGCAGTGGCTGTTTGTTTCACTCGGAGATTTAATTGGGCGAGGAGTAACTTCCTGGGCTGCGGGTGGGCGCGGGGAGCCGCGGAGCGTGGCTGGGGGCGGCGGCGGCGGCGCTCGGTGGCGGCGGGGCTCGCGGGGCTCGCGGGGCTCGGGCCGGCTCGCGGCGCCGTCAGGCAGTCAGTCAGCGAGCGCGGCGGCGGCGGCGGCGGCGGCGAGGGGCGCGGCGAGGGGCGGCCGCTCCCATATATGGCGCAGGCGCCGCCCCCCGACGTCACCCTCTGACAGCGCCGCTCCCGGGGGCTTCGAGTTTTGGCTCCCGGGAAAGGGTCCATTCCTCGGGGAGAGAGGGCTGAGTTTTGTGCGCCTCCGTCCGCTGCGCGCGCCGCTCCAGGCCCCGCCGCGCCCCGCCTGCGCCCGGGACTGCGCCGCGGCACTCACTGCCCCGTTTATTTGTCTTTGGAGCAGGCGGGCCGCGCCAGAAGCGGGCGATCCCGCAGTGTCCTGCAGCCGCGGACGCCGCCCGGCTAGGATGACACCACGTTGAGCGCGCAAACAACAACAACAACCACCGCCTCCGCGGCCGCCGCGTCCCGCTCCTCCGAAGCGCCGCCGCCGCCGCCGCCGGGGCCGCCGCTCCCGCGCCCCCGGCCGCCCGGAGCGCCCGGCCGCTGGTGCATGTCGCGCCTGCCCGGGACGGGCTGAAGCCGGCGGCCGGCCGGACCGCAGGCGCCGAGCAGGGCGAGCGCGGCCAGGGCAGCCGCCTGCCGCCGAGCCCCGAGCGCCGCTGCTCGCGGAAGCGCTTTCGGCCGGGAGCTGCGGCCGCCGCCAGCAGGGTTCATGTTTGGGATCCAGGAGAATATTCCGCGCGGGGGGACGACCATGAAGGAGGAGCCGCTGGGCAGCGGCATGAACCCGGTGCGCTCGTGGATGCACACGGCGGGGGTGGTGGACGCCAACACGGCCGCCCAGAGGTACGTACCGGCCGCCCCCGCGCGCCCCGGCCCCGGCCCGGCCGGGTCCCCGCAGCCGGCCGGCGCCGCGCGCCTCACCGGGCCGCTGTCTGTTTCCTCCCGCAGCGGCGTGGGGCTGGCGCGGGCGCACTTTGAGAAGCAGCCGCCCTCCAACCTCCGGAAGTCCAATTTCTTCCACTTCGTGCTGGCGCTCTACGACAGGCAGGGGCAGCCGGTGGAGATCGAAAGGACCGCTTTTGTGGACTTTGTGGAGAAAGAGAAAGTAAGTGCAAACCTGCAAATACACCCTCCGTCTTTCTGGAAGTGGGAGGCAGGCGGTGCCCGCGCGCGGTGGCCCCGAGTGCCCCCTCGGCGGCGGGGACCGCTCCGCTAGGCGCCCCCCGCCGCCGCCACGTGCGGCCGCCCGGGCCCGGCGAGGGCTGCTCAACTTCTCCGCGCTCCCGGACTCGCTCGGGGCGAGGAGGACGCTGGGCTTCCAGCAGGAAAGTGACATCACCGCGCCGCTCCGAGCTAGGAGTCCTGCCATGTGTGAGGCCCCGGGGCCTCGGTCGAGGAGGGGCACCGAGCGCGGTAGCCGCGCCGGACGCCGATCACACTAAATGCAATTATTTATCGTTACTTTCAGGAGCCCAACAACGAGAAAACCAACAACGGCATCCACTATAAACTCCAGTTACTGTACAGCAACGGTAAGTGGCCGCCCACCGCCTGCCCGCCCCAGCCCGGGCTCGCTCTCCCTTCCCGAGGCGGCTAAAGGACATAAAGATTTTGAGATTAAAATGACATGGATGTAAACACGAAATCTTCTCATGGCATAGAAGGAAAACAAAACATAAACGATCAATAAGTCGATGGCACTTCACATGATTAACCGGTGAGGCTTGAAGCAGAAAGTGAAAAGGGGGATCGATATGGGCTTCAGCAGGGCATCACTTTAAAGTGACTTTTTTCAATTTTGCAAATTAATGTTAATTATTGAGATGGGGGTAGCTCCATAAAGCCGGGCATAACTTACTTCCTGTGCACGAGTTTTTAAAAAATCCTCGAGAGACATTAGAAAGAGTTCAAACTTTCACTCATTTGGTGCTTTCTGTTTTCTAAAAATAAATGACCACATGGGCCCACCGGTGTGGCCACCAGGCCTGCTCTCAGTCCGGCAAATTTGTTACACCTTTCAGTGCAAACCCTAAGCCTCTCGAGGTTCTTAATTAAGGAAAGAAAGCAAGAGAAGGAGAAGTGATTGGGGTTGTCTTCTTCCTTTCAAACGGCGTGCCTGCGTTTTGCTGAATCCCGGCAGGAGCAGGTCTGAGTTACCGACTTCCCGGGCCTCAGGTGCCCTCGCCCAAATCCTGATGAGAGTTTGTCCCTGTGTTTTGCAGGAGTCAGAACGGAGCAGGATCTGTACGTTCGCCTCATAGATTCAATGACCAAACAGGTGAGAAAGTTGAAGCCTCCGCACTAGTTTGCGCTGCTTGGGCTTGTCCTGGGGTTGAGAGGAGGGTCATGACAGATGGATCTGGTGGAGTTGTTTTCCATCTAGTTTCCTTGACATACTAATGAGAATTCCATATTTATTGGAATAAATGATGCGATTGGTAAAGCGGTTTATGTTGTCGTTAGAACAGGACATCTATGGTTTCATCAGATGGCATGTGATTGGGATAAAATTCTGTCTTAATTAGTTATGGTAATTAATATTTGGCAGAAAATTTTCAGGGTGCTTCTCCTATTGTATATTTTTTAAATGTTTCTCTCTCTGCTTGGGATTTCATTGATTTTTTTCCCCCTCTAACAAAGGCAACTAACTCCTTTCTAAAGCCCATTGAGTTGGACTTGATTAGTTCATTTTTTTCTCCTTTCCAGCGTGATGGTCTAGTAACGCGAGACGTTGATTTGGATTTAAAAGTGAAATGTGTTGGGGTGAAAAGTCACCTTGTTCTCCGCTAGTGCGTCTTCACCTCTCAGCCTCCCCTCTCCATAATTCAAACTCCCAGCTCCAGAGGTCACCCACACCCGTCCACTGCTCTGGGAGCAGCTTCTGCTCCCTCTTCCACCCTCTGTCATACCTTGTAAATAACATAATTACAAGCAGTTCCTTATTAAATTATTTAACCTGTCTTGGTCAACTTTTCCGATGATAACTATTGGCTATCAGGAATGTGATTAACTGCAGAAAAAGCGCTTCATTGCTTTTTGATGTTGTGCAGTCTCTGGCTGGTTTTGTGCTGGATGGTATGTTGTTGTGTAGTCCTTGTAAAGACACCCCCCCCCATTTTCTTAAAATAGTGTTGGGGGAGGAGAAAGTTTAATGTGTATAGTAAACGCACAGGGAGCAGATTGATTTAACATATACTTCCAAGGTGGGCTTCAGGCTTAGAAATGAAAGTAGCACCTTCATTTTTGATGCTAACTTTAAGAATTGGGAGCCAAGTGAAAAAGAACTCCTTGGGGTTTCCTGCAGCCCAGCACGCTTGCTTCCTACTCTCTGCTCAGTAATTGGTTTTGGGGTTTTACTTCCCCTTTAAAAAGTTAGTCCTTACCTAGGCTACAAGCGGGTTGGGTTTTAATGTCTGCCACGTAAAACAGTGTGGTTTTCTTTTAGAATAAAACAGATCTTACAGGTAAACTACCCTGTTTCTGACAAAGAGGGAGGCAGTGTGCCCTTCGGTAATTATTCCACTCGGATCCAGAGAAGCCTCTGGAACTAGGGCTGCTCCTTGACAGGGTGCTTTTATTTCCTTTGTATATAAGGGCTAAATGTTGTCAGAAACCGCAGTGGTCTAATTAAGAGGCTGATGTAGGCAGTGCTAAGTTTCTCTGTTGCTTACAGCAGGAGGCTTCGTTTTAAGTGTACTCTTATTGTCCGTTTAGCCTCGTACCTTTGCAACATAAACAGGGCTGAAAATAAAGGCATTTAATCTCCTCTCACTGACGGGGAGGTGGAGTGGGGGGGAGGAAAGAAATAGCCCAGTAACTGATCAAAGAGTCAATGGCGCTGAACCGACAGTTTATGGATTTCTGTTTGTGCTACAAAATAAAAAATAAATCAAATATAAATACGGGGGATCCATCGGAGGACAAGCCCAGCTCTCAGAAGTGCTGGTGCCCGCCTCGGCCAGCGGCCCTGCAGCCCCAGGCGGCCATTGGCCTGCGGTGACACCCATCACCTCTGTGGTTCCGAGCAGATCCGGAGGGAGTCTGGGGGAGAGGGGCTCGCTGGGACCCTTCCCTGTTCCCAGAGGGCTGCCTCGGGCTTTCTCGAGAAAGGGCTTTGTCCGCCTGGAAGTGGAGGAAAGTGTTAGAAGTGCCCGAAGAGATTGGAAGTAATTTCCAGATAATTTTCGGTGGGGGGAGGGGACTGGAGAGGAGGACTCCCCTCCCCCTTCCGTGGAATTTTCTGTCGGGAACTAGTGGCTCCCCGCCCCCGGCCCCTCCCCCAGTGACCTTCTCGCCCCCCCCCCCTTTTTTTTTCTTTTTCGGCAAGGCCGGCGGTGGGGATGGCGCTGGCGGCGGAGCGGGCGGCCCCCAGGCCCCCGGCTCGGGTTCCGGGCGGCGGAGCCGGGCCGAGCGCGGTCGTGAGCGCACCTAGGGCTTCGCACCATCTGGCGGAGCCTCTGCTCAAAACCCACCCGAGCGTGTGCGCAGACACTGCCTTTTTACCCGAGAAAAATCATTGTTAGCAGTTTCAAAATAAACACCAGATTGGCCATTAGCACTTTCTTTCCAAATATCA